CACTGCTGGCACTCTGAAAATTCCTTCTGTGTTCAGTCTTTGTTCTCGTTCGTTGGAACTTTTGTTTGAGTGCTCAAACACTAGTTCGTTGTCATCGTATCCTGGGAAACTATTGTTGCAACGCTCCTAGCACCGTGGGAGGCAACAAATACGTTTTAAGGACATCGTGCGTAGCACGAGCTTTGACAAATTCTGCTCCATCTCTTTTCTTGTTTTTCTTTCGTCATTTTAATTTAATTAATTTTCTTTATTTTCCGAAACACACCCAACAAAATTGGCCAAAATAATTTATTCATTTTCACTAACACATAAAAAATTGTTTCCAGAACAACCGTATCACTGCTATTGCTAACATTGTTGTTGCTAACATTATGCCTTCCTTGTAAAAATTTTGGTCTCTCAAACTAAAAAAACAAAAAAACAAATCTTAAAAACGCAATGATGCCTTCCCTGGACAAAATTGGCCTTCATGTGCAGTCGTTGACAAGAATGGAAAAATTGCAATTTTTTTCCCGGTTGATCAAACTGTGCTTGAATTGGCTGGAATGCCAGGTTAAGAAACTTATATGCGTCAGTCACGACTCACATATACGGAGTACTTCCTAAATTTGAGGACGTCGGTTACCGAATTAGTGATTTATCATCAATTATATATATTCTTTACTTAAAACTGCCTAACGGATTTATATTGAAAGCCTACTTTTACGGCCCCCTATAACTGCTTTGAGTCATACATCCGGAATTTTTTAAACCTACTTTAAGTCAGTTTACTGGGAAACCGCATACTAGGAGTAATATTGATAAAAAAGGCCATTGATCTCCCATTATTATAAAGAAATTTGTTATAATACGTGTAATACTTTTATATGTAGGACAGTAGGAGTCCCGTTTGAGTCATGATTTCCTAATCGGAACCTCCATGCGAAATTCGTCGTTCGAGGTGATTTCTGATGGAATTTTTTAATAAAATTTTGTGAGAATGTTCGTCATGAAATGTAGATGATTCTCCTGATGCACGCTAATTAGTAGTGCATAAATGTATGTTTTTATATTTAATTTGTGTTGTTTGTCTACCTTTATTATTTTAGTTTGTAAACATTTGTGCTTTTAGTTGTAATTGTATTTTAGCTTTCATTTGTAAGTTGTAAAGTAGTTGTAGGCTTTGTGGTGTTGAAAAAGAGGACTTTGAAGTGAACACTAGAAGAGAATATTTTCCAATCGATGATACACATTTATAAACAGTCGTGGGGTGATTAAAGGTGTAAGAATCCCATCAATTGACACAATTTGAGCTTCATAGCAAATGGAAAGAAAGAATGGGTGAACAATAGCTTACATGATGGGAGAAGTCGTTGGGAAAGATGACGGGTGAGAAAAGATGGCGCAAGGAGTAGAAGATGAAGGCAATGAGCTTGATGCCGGCATTCCCTCTGAGCCATAAGATGTGGGTTCTTAGCGGCAATGTGGGTAGAAGATCCCGCCGCCACTTTAACTTCAGGCGCCACTGCGCCAACTACCTCGCCTTCCTTGTGGTATATTTTCTAAATTAAATATTTTCGTATTCTTCTTTTTATGGCATATATTAAGAGGGGTTTGATTCTAAGTAGATAATTTTGTAAGGCCGTAGAAGTATTAGAAGCTTTTCCATCTGCTTCGTACAAGAGTTCACCTGAGGGATCAAAGATAAGAAATCCTGAGGCACTCCCATTCTTAAATAATGGTTCTGGAAGAAAGAATGGAAATGCTCTTCTTGCAGATCCTGAAGCCGGTCCAGAAAAGCTTGTAGTGGACCTCTTGGAAAGGTAGAAACTTTAATTTCTTTAGTATTGTCTAGCTTGTGCTGCAGAGTAATCACTAACGAATTGACGAGGCTTTTATGTTACTTTTGGTTAGCATTTGAATTGCTTTATGTTTTATCATGCTTTATGTTTTATCGTGCTTTTATTGAAGAATAAGGTGTTATGTGATATATTTTCTCTGTAGATGTAATCTATTGTACGTATATGCCTAGGTTGGAGCTAAATTGTGCAACATTACAAATCTATTGGAGATGTGATCTACTGTATATGCCTAGGTTGGAGCTAAATCGTGAACATTACAAGGTGTTATGTGATTATTTAAGTTTTAATTTGATTTTTATTCTTCAGTCTGTAATCTGTATTTAAAGAAACTGTATCTCTTGGTCATTTGTTTCATGGTGATATCATGTATGAAACTTTATAGAGTAACTAACTGTATATCACAACCAAAATAATATAATTGCTACTACATATATACAGTATTGTTTAGTTCAATCTATCAACATACAACAAGTTTCCAATTGATTGTCATTTTGAGTCATTTGAATTGATTGTCTCTAATTACATTATGAGACAATATAACATGGTTGTCTCTAATGATATTTTTGAGGCAAAAGGCTATGGTTGCTTCTAAACATATCTATTTAGAGGCACATCTTTTTTTGCCTCTAAGGAGTGATTTAGAGGCAACCATCATTTTGCGACGGACTATTTGATGGCAACCATGAAGTTTCCCCCAAAAAGCATTAGTGGCTATTTTTATAAATTTAGCAGGCAATTATGTTTTGCCTCTATAAATCAATTTTGTAGTGTGGCATTGGGCCACTCATGAAGTGCACTTTGCTATACTCACAGAGGTTAGGGATTCTAGTTTTCAATGCCCCAAGGATGCTACTCTATTTTGGCAAACACCTTACCTTTTTGACTTCTTCTTCCATGTAACTTCGCACATTCCTTGAGAGGGCTAGTAATTGATATTTTGTGTCATTTGCCCAGTTGTTGTAGCAATAGCTAATGTCGCGAATGAGGTGAAGGCTGTTGACATAAAATTTCTTTTTGTGAAGCCCTTGGTTTATTTGACTCGTTTTTTCATCAATGCCACTGCTATGTCTCGTCCACATATTGATGCCATTGTGTAAAAATTGCACCTGTATTTAGCATATGTTTCAGCACTATTTATTTAATAACCAACCAAATTGACAGACTTTTACCTAGTGGAGTATCTTAAGGTGTTTAGTGTATTCTTTTGTGTGTGGTACCAAAATAAGAGATTTGGGTGAGAAGCAGTTCGGAAGAGTTCTTACAAACAGTGTATCATCAGAAGAGTTATGGATGCTCATTTGGGCAGTCCAATATAAACTTCTGTTTTGGTTTTAGTACCTCTAATGTGATTTAATGGGTTTTTATTTCTAGTTGGAAACATTTCATACGCGGTACAGTTAATTCCTGAGGTGTGATGTAGTTATCTATGTAAAGGCCTTTAGAAACGTTACAGATCAACTGAATGCATGATTTGTGTTGTTCCATATCGAACAGGGCTGGTGGGTGGCTAATCTATAAAAATAATGTTTTTCTTCCGACTACAATGCATTGTTGCATCTATTTCTTCATGGGTGAACCAATGTTATCTTGTGTTATGTCCTGTTTTATATACATTTTCCGATTCTAAGTTTTCCTATGTTCTAATTTAGTTCACATTCATCCTCTGCAGGAGGTCATACACAGATGTCCTGAAGAATTATGTTTTTGAAAAAAACTGCTTGTGAGTCAAAATTTGCTCCCAGGCTAGGAGATATGTGAGGATATACTGAAAGTGATTCTCGATGAGCCTATGGATGTTTATATTTTGTGAATCATTCTCCTGCGGGTATTCCTAATCAGCATATGGTGCTTTGACTATGAAGGCTTCTTCATCTAGTGTATTTCCCATAGTTGATGTTTTAGTCTTTTTGTGTTTTGGCACATGTGCTTTTAGTTTAGGTAGCACTAGAATTTCACCCGTGCGATGCACGGGAAAAAAATTTATATGGAGAAGGCCGCCCCATGTTTAGCTGGAGAAATTATATGGAGAACAGGAGAAGACTCAATATGAATTTTTTTAGAAGACCGCACCATGAATAATATTTTCACCCATGCGATGCACGGTATAAAAGTTTACCCATCTTTCGAGACATATGGAAAAGTACTTATGCATTGTTTGAAAATTTAGATTTGAAAAGTTATAAGTTATAGAAAACATAAATTGTTAAAGAAAAATAGTTATCCAAGTAAGATGGGATGGTACAAAAGCTATACTATTTGTAACATAAAATAGATCAAAATAAATGTTAGGAGTTATCGGAAAGCGAGGTCAGTTGTATGTGGCACTCATGATACTTTTATAATTTTATTGGAAATGAAATTTTTAGATTCGAAGACATTAATGGTTATTAAGGTTTTATTTGGTCTAAATTGATTTGCTTAATTTTTGTATGAATTGCATATCTAGCCCGTCAAGTTCAATATTATATGCATCTTACTTACACCGTCCGTTCTAAAACAAAATTCACTTTGCTTTTCTAGATATTAAGTTCTCAGTTTAAAAAGAGAAAATTTATACCTTCATAATTGAAAATTCTCTACAATAAATTTGAGCATAATATTTAAACGTGAAATAGTAGGATCAATGATTTGTGTAGAAAAAATAAAAGAGAAGATAAAAAAGTATTAAGGAGAAGATAAAAAGTAATAAAAGTAAGTATAATTACTTTTAGAGAAAACACTTACCAAAAAATGTAGCAAAATTTTAAACGTATTAAAAAAAAAGTATAGTAAACTTGAAAAATAGGGAGAGGGTATAAAAAGTGTTACCATTACGGGTTGAAAAAGGAAATACATTGGGTCAAACAAAATGGAAGTGTTTAATGCCCACTAATAAATTAAATAGTGTTTAACATTGTTTCGGCTTATCATGGTTATCAGCCATCTTTTTCACCAAACACGTAATTTTTGCTTTTGCGGACTGAATTGTATAAAAGCAGAAAAAGTAAGGTTGTAGTTACTTTTCTGGCTGTATTGACTGAAGTTACTGTAGATGACAATTTTAGCTATTTTTACATTATATGTTTTCTTTATTTTATTAATAAAATATGTTTTTAAAAGAATTTTTTCTTAAGTTATCAGAATCAGCCAATACAGTTACTTCGGCTAGAAATTCATAAATTTCAGCAGAATGAGCCAAAATGGGCTCTATATTGATAGCTTTCATGTTTAGGTCACTTTACATCCGTGCCAGCTGACATCTATGCAGAAGACCATTCTCGAGCTAATTTATGTATACCTATGGTGTACAGACATGTTGCCAATTTTGGACACCTCTATCCTTTCGATTATTCTACTCAACAAAAAATAAAATACATGCAGAGTAAGTTTTTTTTTCAATTCAATCAAGGCCCATCCTTGGGCAGTCCAGCAATAATCAATCATGCATGGCTGCATGCTCCAGCAGCTATCAGCAAGAGTCCACCACTCCAACCCAATACTTCAGCCTCGCCCGAGCAGACTACGGCAAGCCAAGTTTCCGGGTCAGCCCAGTTGCTCCAGCCCAGGATCTGATCCAAGTTTGCACCGCAGAAAGAAGCAACAAATTTGAATCCCTACCAGTATGACTATAGGACAGAGAAAAGCGACCCAATGGCAGACACACTGTCAACTTGCCGCTGACGGCTCCGGCCACCCCTCCAACGAAGATACGGTCGAAATCCCAGAAAAAGCTACGCCTGCTCGTAGCACACATCCAACCATGCCCCCACCCCACCATGTCCCGACGAACATCCCAACGACAACGGTGGAGATGCAGCTCCATGTCATATGCTCTCTCAGCCGCGTATGCAGTCATCTCCGCCGCCTTCCGGTTTATCTCGGCCGCCCGTCTCGATCTTGCCTTTCCCAGCCCCTCGTATATATGTATGCGCACGGTGAGATTCTGAGATTTGAAGGTATGGATTTTGGATTAGGACATGCCGACTCTTGGCTATATGTTTCGTTTTTTTTTAAGACCATGGAAAACTAAATATCAATACGTAAAGATTCTGATCTGACACCTCACTTTAATGAATGACTGATCAATGACCTCGGTTAACGTTCGTTTGCTTTGAATAACTCAGCACGTTACTGACCATGTCAAAGGAGATCCCCCCTTCAATATTGGTGATCATTTAATGAGGTGTACCTTTACATCAGTGAGTCTTCAGATCCGTTAGTGTTGACTCGACCCGTAACTACACCTGGTACTTTGGGCGGGAAATTTGGCTGAAAATCCACTTCTTTTTATATATAGATAGATTTTGTTCTTGTCTATTAGTTTTTGTCGTGGGGTGTGCCCCTTATGTAGTATGTACATTCAAATTTATGTGATAATTTGAGATAGAAATAGAAATGTTTGAAATTTAGTTATTTATTAGCTAGTATTAAATTATATATATGTGTGTATGTATGCATGTATGTATTGTAATCAATGTATCATAGCACTAGTGTGTCATTGAGTTTGGTAATACTGTAGTGTCATTGAGTTTTGTGATATTATAGTGTCATTGAGTTTTGTGATACCGTAGTGTCATAGAATTTTGTGATACCATAGTGTCTTAATTTGGTGATACTTTAGTGTCATAATTTAGTGACACTTTTAGTGACACTTTTTAGTGTCACTATTCTCCACTTTCAGCGACACTTTTTTAGTGTCACAGAAGCTTTTAGTGACACTAATTTGGTTTCACTGTAAGACATTTTTCTAGTAGTGAGTGTAAATGAGATTGTACTGACGGAGTGACTGCACATGCCGTTTAGTGGCGCATAAACTAACGATATAGTACAATGGCTTAGTCGTGTGGTACAAGGACATAAAGCTTTAAAGTTACACCAACAAATTATTTATACTCAAAATAACCTTACCTTCATTCATGCTTATATTTTTCAGATTCAGATTTAGATTAGATTAGATTAGATTTAGATATCATATACTTCGTACTTCGTAGTCTCGAAACAGTAGTATATCAAATATAACCAATCACTTAATTTATTATTCAATACATTAGTAACAAATATTAATGAACAAATCATTATAGTAATTGAAATATAGTAAACGTGGTTACATTAATTAAGGTCTATTCAGCGATTAGTCTTACTCAGGATTAGGCATTCTATTCTATATCTGATCAGGGAGTGAAAGATCCTATTGACTACTCCGTATATGGTATCCAGCCGGGATCGGGCCAGGTGCAACTAGGGCCTCCAATTTTGGGAGGGCCTCCATTTTTTATTAGGTTAGTAGTATGCCTAGGCCGGATAGTCTTCACTCTTTAGTCTTCAGCAATTAGTTTAGGAGACTTGAACAACTAGAGAATCTAAGCGACGAAGCAATTTTTGAGGAGACTGCGGAGATGATGAATCAAGCGGCTATGGAATCGTCGGTAACTGAATGGTGTGAATTTTATTCTTTTAACGTTAAATATCTCCGAACTACCATCTTCCGAATTCCGTTAGCAATACCTGTGGTTACCAAATTGCTTATTTCAGTCTTCCATATTCCGATTTCTTCCTTCTTCACTGACTGATACGTGTAAGAGATTGTGACTTGCAAAGGGGGAAGACAACTCCAACTAGTCTGGTACAGGCTAGACGACTATTCTGAGACTTTGAGTAGCCGACTGTTCTAGTTCTCTGTTTCAGACTTTGAGGTGTTTTTCTTCCCACTTTTTTGTCTTCTTACTTCAATTGATTATGTTATTCTTTTTTATAGTTAATTTTGAATTCTTTTACATCTTATAAATTACGTAGTATAATTTAGAAATTTATAATGCCTCCAACAATAAAAAAGAATATGAACCCGAATATGAAGAATGTAAGAAAAACAAAAGAGCTTCTGAAAATAATTGTTACAAAACTATCACAAAGTGTTAGCGTTTGAGTTAATGTTGATGATATTAGTGCTAGTGTTGATGCCAATAATAATATAGTACTGATGATATTGTTTATTTTCTGTGTTAAATATAAGGGCATTGGATTTTATTTTGAACAGGGGCACAGGGCCTCCCATTTCCTATGGCCGAGCCTGATGGTATCTAGTCTAGAGGAAAGCTTTGAGTAGATTGTAAGCATGATGGAACTTGTTTCTTTTTATGAGTTTAATATAAGTGTTATGCACTTAGAGAAAATTAATAGTCAAACTTGTGCGTAGGAAAATGTGAAAACTAGAACGTTGCAAATGTAAAAGAGAATAGAGGAACTAGTTGAAGGTCTCCGAAAATGCATCACTAGAAATGAAATTAAACATGAGTTCACTATTCTAAAATGAACATGCAAATTATTATAAACTAAACATCGATCATCATTTAAATCCAACAAAGACTACAAGCCCGGACACATCCTCCGGAATGAAGAATGCGAAGGGATGGTCCGCTACGAAGTCTAGCTCTTCCTCAACCTGCTGCCTTGTTCATTATATTGAAGTACAAATGTCATCATACTAGTTGCAACAACTTTTGTTCCTTTCTCATTAACATCAACAACAAACTTGTGCATGTGGATGATGTTTGAAACTATGGGGATCCCCTCCGGGGCGACCACCATTACGTCAATATCACCACTGGAAAACTGCACCCCGAGCTTCTCTAAAAAACATAAAGCATCAAAGCCGAAAGTTATTTGGAATTTCGGTATGCGAAACACGCCCACTCTAACTGGCTTGTTCGGAGCGTGAAACTGAAATGTGCAGAATAAAAGGTACGATGTGATGTTATTTTTGTACCTTTGATTTTGCATATTTCAGTTTCACTTAATGCACACTTCAGTTTAAATTTTTATTCTGCACATTTCAATATCATTTAATGCATATTTCAGTTTCACCGATACACAATTCAGTTCCACATAATACAATCCAATGGTTCAGATTCATTCTCATTTCTCCTGGGAGTTTGTTCCTACCAGAAGCACTCCCTATATGTGTGTGCGCGCGTGTGCGTGCGTGTACATACCTTACAATTTCTCTCTTCAATTTAGAGAGAAAAACAAACCTTGTAATAAACCTTAGTAATCGAACAACTAGGCTGATTGAGAAGCTCAAAATGTAAGAGATATTCAAAACAATTGACCAACGAAAACAAAATCAGTGAGATGCGTTAATAAACCTCTTAGTAATCGAACAACTAGGCTGATTGAGAAGCTCAAAATGTAAGATATATTCAAAACAATTGACCAACGAGAACAAAATCAGTCAGATGCATTAATGCTTTATTCTAAGAAATTGCTTAAAGTATGACGTTCAAATTAAAAGAAAATGAAAACCCCAAGCAACTAATTGGAGATATTTAAAAATGCATCAAAAGAATTAAAATTAAACTTGCGTTCACTACTGTTCTAAAATGAACATGCAAATTCTTATTGCATATATACTAAAAGCATATCCACCTGCATGCATGTGTCATCTACCGATCCTACCACCTTAAAGAAGAGGATTAAGCACAGTGCCAAGAAAGACAACAATCCCGGACACATCCTTCGATCCCGAATGAAGAAAGCAAAAGGATGGTCAGCTACAAAGTTCGTTTTCTCTTCCATTACAGTGCCCACTACACTAGTAGCAGTTTTTGTTCCTTTCTCATTAACATCAACAACACACTTGTGGAAAATGTTTGAGCCAATTGGGCTCTACTCCGGGTCAACTGCCATTTCATCTAGACCATCGTGAGGAAACTGCACCTCGAGCTTCTCCAAAACACTTAAAGCATCAAAGCAAAAACTTATTTTGAATTTAGACGTTTACATGGCAATTAAAAATGAGATTTATCCAAAACAGATGCATGTCTTTGCAAAATACAGTAATGGAAGAGAAGCAAGGGTATAAATTTTAAAAATAGAAATATAAAGAAAATATTTGGATAGTGAACCCGGTGTCGGTCAATGTGGTCCGGAGAAATATACAATTGTTTTCGGATAAAGTATTTAATAAGGCCTTGATTATAGAATTTGTGACACGATGCTACAACATATCTCACTTTCATGAAATATCAGTATATATGTGTCACTTATGTGATGCATGTCTCGTATATTAGCAGGCCATATTTTATCAAATCTGTCTGTTTGTGTCTAGTGTTAGGATCGGATTCCGTCTCCGGCTCAGGTGTATTACCCTAGACTCACATACACCACACTAGGCTAGTCCTCTTCACCACCAAGCTTCTTCTCTACCACTAAGTAACCTCTCTTAACTTGCACTCTCTCACAAAGGAAAGGAAGAAGAAGTAGAGCACTGCTCTATGGTATATCTCACGCAGGCTGCTTTCAAATGGGAGAAGCAGAGGACTACTAATAGGCTGCCAAGCAAGATGGAAGTCATGGGTGAGGCAAACAAATGACACTCACGGGCTACTCAGAAAAAGGGTGCAGCGGACAACAACAAAAAGGGGTCAGCCAATAGATAAGTCAAACAGCCAATAAGAGAGGTAAAAATAAGGTTTAGCTTAGTGGGGAGTAAACATAGGGTGTAAGTCAATAATAAAGTGGAAAAGAGGCCTTGGTAGGACCAATACCTCCAACATCTAGGAAAACAAAATTGATATATAGTTGATATCAGGACATATTTGTACCCCAAATTTATAGATCCAAACAGATCATATATAATAATCTCACATTTATGTAATTCCAAAATAATTTCACTTTTGCACATTTTCTTCTTTCGTTGGACTCTGACAGGTTTGTGACCTGTTATACCATACTTTCACCCTTTCTTTAAAAACCTTACATAAATAATCACATCTTTCACAAATTTGTTCAAAACGGTCACATGTGTCATTTTTTCTTTTTTTTTTCCCTAATTTTTTTTCTTTATTTTCATCCCTAGAAACTTTTTTATTCCTTTTTCTATCCTTTTTTTGTTATTTCTTTTTAATTTTTATTATTCTATTTCTTACTCTATAAGAAAAAATTTTGTAGTTGTAAAATTTCCCTCCAGTAGAAAAGAGGAAGCCCACGCCTCATCAATACGCATCTGATGTCCCTTTGCCTTATATTATACGCACGCTATACAGATAGTCTTCACTCTTCAGTCTTCAGCAATTAATTTTGGAGACTTGAAAAGCTAGAGAATCTAAGGGAAGAAGCAATTTTCGAGTAAGACTACGGAAATGATGAATCAAGCGGCTATGGAATCGTCGGAAACTGAAAGGGAATGTGAATAGTAGACCGTTGCAAATAAAAGAGAACGTCTGAAGTATATACTAAAATGATACGCTAATAAATTAAAAGAACATGAAAATTCCAAGCAACTAGTTGAAGGTCTCCAAAAATACATCAATAGAATTAAAATTAAACATGAGTTCACTATTCTAAAATGAACCTGCAAATTACTATAAACTAAACATCATCATTTAAATCGAGCTCCATGATTGCATGTCATCCACCATCTTAGAGAAGTGGATTAAGTACGGTGCCAACAAAGACAACAAGCGTAGACACATCCTCCCGAATGAAGAAGGCAAAGGGATGGTCCGCTATGAAGTCTATCTTTTCC